TTATAACTCCAGCTTCAGTGTCTCCAAACTGTGTTCCCTAGTGCTGCTGGGTCCATACATGCCTGAGCTTTCCTAGCACACAGCCAGCTAAAGAGACTAATGAGGCTTATTAGAGCTCAGGCCACACACACTGTATGCAACTGGCTATAGTACTTTCAGACTGAGCTAGCCCAGGAGGGAGCAAAGCGGTGTTCACAGTTGCACTGCAGCTAATACACACCGCACGGATAACCTGCAATCTGACCAGTCCATGTGAGAGCTAACTACATTTTTCCATACCGCGTTTTGGCCTTCCTCTAAAGGAGCATTATTTCCCCACTCTAAAACAAACATACAGCACGCAAAGAAGTGTTTGCATACAACAAAACAGGACAGATTCACCTTTAGCTAACCAATAGTATTTCAGCCCAGAGATAGATGAGCAGTAACAGAAAGCAGCTAACATCACCAGAATTACAAGGTGCATTTGCCCAAACAAACATTATTTATCATATGGAGTAATTTTTAATAAAGACAATTTATATTTTGAGTCACTAATAGGAATAGCTTTAATGTTTCCAAGAGATACATCAACTGTACAGGGAGCAGCCTGAAGGTTTAGGAGGAAGAAAAGAAGCACATTTACTACCAGGCTAAGAATCTACGGGGTACTTACGGTTCAATGCTGACCGGGGTGGCTTCTCCCACTACTGTAAGAACAGGGGGGGTAAATTCTGAACTATCTGCAAGGAAAAGAAAGAACTGCTCAGACAGCTGATCTTTGCATTTGAGATGTATCCTTCACACAGCTTGTAAATCTATCAGAGATATCCATCTCTCAAAAAAGGCACCCATACGCTAAAGGAGTTTGAGATGACCAAGAATTACCTTCCAGTCACCACCTACATCTTAATAATAACTATTTACCGTCCCCTCAGTTCAAGATAATGACGATCTATTATAGAGGAAGAACTGACTCTTCCATTCCTAAGAACGTCAGTAGGGGGTGTTGCAGATTACTTGTGAATGCATCTTAACATGCATGCCCAGATGGAAGAAACATTGCATTTCCTCCATCCTAGTTCCCCAGACTATCACGAGGAAGTCCCAGTTCCCCATAACCACACCTCCTAAAGTCATGATCTTCCTCATAAATTAGCCAAGAAAGGAAGGATAAAGTAGAACTTACTTGATCTAAGCAGAGTTCTGTGAGCACTTTTAGGAGTCATTGGAGGTGGAACCGAATGACCGCTTGAAGAGAGGATAGCATTAAAATATAGCCCAGATCCTTCTCTCACTGGACTAAGAATTGGCGGAGGAGTGTAAGGAGGTAGCTCAAAGTTCCTATCTGAAGGATGATCTGCCAGACGAACAGGTGACCGTAAGTGGCTCTGATATGGAGTAATGTTAGAATAAACAGGTGGTGCAATAAAGGTGCCAGCTTTTGGTGGTATGAAGAGTGGCTCAGGTCTTGGCCGCTGCTTTGGTTTCCGGGCAAAGCCCTCTGCTTCATCCTTTGGAACAGCATCTTCATGCTATTAGGAAAATATTACATACTTAATTTCATTTTAAAACCTCAGGTCATTTGAAAAACTTCAGTGAGATGACAACATTCTTTCATGGCAGCTCAAAATCTGGATAGGGCAAGCTGGAGGGTGTCTCAACAATTAGCAAAAAAAGGAAAGAGGGAGGAAGAAGATGAGGCATGGAATGGACACAGGAACTATTAGATAGCAACGCTAGCTCTGAGAGCTTATGAAGTTATATTTTACAAGAACTATGCCTGGTCCAACCTTTGGTTGAAAAGATAATGACCTCATGGTAGTTTTAGAAGAGGACATAAACATACAGCAGAACCCTGGTACAGATACACGGTGACACCAAATAGCAATAAGAGAACAGAAGACAATATAAAAATATTTTCTTAGATGGTCAAGCATTTAAATGCAGAGAAACCTCCCTAGATGCGTGCCATTTCTCTGGTATCTGAACATTCTATCGTACTTCTGAATAGAAGAGACAATAAAAACCCCCCACAAAAAAAACCCAAAAACCCGCTCAACAGCACCACACTGAAGGGGAACAGTCAAGTACTGACCTTCAGAACCTCAGTAAGAGATTTCAATTCCATGAGAATAAATCTTCACTTCGGATTTTATTCATATACAAAGATATTTATTATTATCTATGTATATATGGAAAGCACTCTTTACTCAGACTATTTAGTCTAGTGTTATTGACCATCTGGCTTTATTCAGTGTTTAGTAGTGGGGCATTGCTTGGCTGTACTAACATTAGCTGTAGGTCATGAAAAGCCAGTGATGCCCAAATAGATGGCATTATTATGACAAAAAAAATCCACAGTCCCCAGAATACATCCATTCCAACTTCAAGCCTTAAGATCAAGTTACTTTAATAGAAAAGCTTATGGATAAAAACTACATAATTAAATCTAACATATTTGGCTCATCTTTGGTTTCTTAGTCTATCCATACCTGATTTGAGGTTTCCATGTTAGTATTACGGTTAGATCGCCTCCGAGTGACTATCACAGAAGGCTTGCGTTCACAAGGAGCTCGATCGTTTGTTTGGCCTCTCTGGACCTTTCCATCCTCAGACTTTTCCTTTCCAAGGCTCTGCAAGTCAATTTTTCTCACTGGCACAGACACAGGAATGATAAGAGGCACAAGGCTGTTATCCTCCCGGGCTCTTTTTGGAGCTGATGAAGAACTGGCAAATTCCACAACACTTTTTGCAGCTGTAGGTCCTGGAGCTGCTATCAGCACACTACTCTTCTCTTCTGAATTATCCAGTTCCTGAGAAGAAAAATAGATTCCTTAAAGTTCTGTAGTACTTACATAATAAATCAGACGATATCTCACTTTCCGTGTATATCAAGTTTCTCAATGCAATTTGCAAGCTGAAGTGGATTTGGAAAAGGAGGAAAAAGAATACTTCACAAGTTACTGGAGGAAAAAGAATACTTCACAAGTGTTACCAAAATTTCTTAGAATTACTTGAGGATTGCCTGAAGTACCAACTGCTAGAATATTTTCATACATCATTCTCAAGTATCATTTCACTACCTATGGTATGACATTTTATTTTCCAGATGAATTTATGCCCTGCCATATAACTTCCAACAAAGGTTCTTCAGTTTTAGTAATGATCATAAGCTGCAGGTTATTAATTTCAAATATTGGACTTCCATTCCAGGAAAGACTGAACCATGATAATCTTAATTAAATCTCTCACACAAAAAACAGAGCTAGCTTTTTGCTGCATTTTTTCTGATTTACATGACAGAGACAACTTTCCTTATTATAACTGGAGCCTTTGAGGTTTGTTGTCTAACCAGGCTTGAGCCTGAAGGACTTTTACTCAGCAGAATCAACAAGGCATAACTGCAAGCTGGCACTTTTTGCATCGGTATTACAGCTTCCATGTCTCTGCTTTCTTTTACTCATGCAAACCCTAGAAAATTGAGCTCCAAGAAGGTGGGAATGGAGGATGAGTTACTGAATAAACACATGGATACTGTAACACCAAATGGCTTCGGGTACTGTTAGATAAATGATTTCTAGTCCTTTAAATGACTATCCACACGTTCATTCCACTCTCAATTCAAAAGCAGTTGCCAGCTCACTTAGAAGCCAGATGTTAAAGTACAACTTGCAAAAACACCTCTCTTCGGGGATGTAAAAGGCCTTCTTGAGCTCTGATGAAGTGCAATCTAGAAGCTGTAGATGATGCTCCTTTTGGTGTTTCAGAACTTCTCTCTAACTTAGAGCTCTGTTTGGAAAGCCTTTGGATAGGATTAGGTATGCAAACTCATCCTCTTGTCAGATCCACAATCTACTGAGGAATATACCTGAAAAGCTGTGTTTTGTAGGTGGAAAATAAGGCACATTATCTCTCGGGTATGACAAAAGGTCTCCAACCTGGACTTCAAAATTTTGCAGAGACCTACTGAAGTCCTCAGAAAGAATCCATTGTGTGCCATTAAGAATACCTAATCCTGATTAAAAAGCTAGCATAAGCAGGTTCTGTCATAAAGATTCAGACACGCCCCCAGTCATTTCACTGTGGTCATAGATCAAGAAAGCCAGCTTCACTGATGAGCGAGAGAACATGGTCCAGCTGGCCCATGAAGAGTCAACCCATGATAGCTAGGACACCAGACTGAAGTCCCACTTTGATACTATATTTATATGGAGGGAAGCGCAACTGTATTGTCACAAGATGCGTCAGTCAGAGCCTGGAGTTAGTGCTCTGGCCTCTCTCCCAATGAGAGTCCTGGTAATTTTTGTTGGTTAAAAGCTAACAGGTCCACTCTGAAACACTAAGCCTTCAAAAAAAGCTAGGTGCCAAGCTTGAGCAAATAAAATCAGTCATATCAAGATTTAGGACTGCCTCCTTCCAAGACCTTTTATTAGAGTAAGGCTAAGTGTGCACAGAAAGGTTTATCTCATAAGTGACACTGCAGTTTAGAAGTCTGACTGCTTCTTCACAGAGACCGGAGATATCTGCCCCACCACGCAATAATGAAACACACAAGTGAAAAGTCACAATTGGCATCAGCTGCCCCAGATTGCACTGCAGGAGGAATTAATGAGCTCTGAGGCCCTCCCTTCACACCAGACTGGTGATATGCACCTGTACTTTCCCATGAGACTACCAGTTTTGCATTTGGAGGGCATTCATCATGCTGACAGATATGTCACTAGGGACCACTACCTCTAGATAGTATGGGGCTCTTGTAAATTTTTGTAGCCTTCCTCCACTACTTCAGGAAAGAAGAACTAACAAGGATGCCTTTTTAAACATATAAACAGGTCATCTACTGGAAACAGATGCCTACTTCCACTAGTCCTGCCCATACCTGAAGCAGCAGCTCACATACGGCCTCATGCTGCTATACGTGGGCCTCCATTCACCAGGGAAATTTATGCTGTTATCACCTTATTACTGAAGCCTAGTTAAACATCTGGGATAGCTCTGGGGTCTTCTTCTGGCAGTGACATCCACAGTAGATAGTTTTGCACCACTGTTTAGAGCAGTGCATTCATACTACATTCTTTAGACCACTGCCAAGAAAAGCCTTGGTTTTAATCAATTACTTTTTTTCCTCCTGATGTAGCTGTTACTAGTGCAAGCACTCTAGCATGCTTTCTGGGTACCTGAGAGAATAACAGCAAACAAGTAATGGCAATATGAATATGTGAACGAGCACCAATTCTGACCAATCTACAAACCTCAGATACTTCCTGTGTGCTACACAGATCTCTGTAGGTCAAGAGACATGAACTAATTTCCTGACTACAAGGAGGAAATTATGGCAGCTAGTCACACAAAAGATGTCGCATTTCTTTGGCCATATGATCAGTATGACCATGCTCCTTCTATTTTCAAGATTGGGAGGTAACCAGCAAAGGACTCTTTTCCTTCAAACATGACCCCTTTGAGAGAAAAGAGGAAGGGGGAGACCTGAATGGTAGAGATAGAGAGAAGGCACCACTGGGAACTTTATATAAATAGTTGAGACATCCTTAAAGATGCTCTGGTCCACACCAGAGCTTTTCTGGTCATGAAAGATCACACATACCTAAGGTTTACTAAGAGGGGACACAACTGATTTTGGAATTAAGCTATTTGTTTCAGATCCCTAAATAGTTTCTCAACTGTTTGATTATGCTCAGAGGTAAGCAGAAAGGAGTCATTGAACAAGGGACAGGACCTTCACTTGTAGAACTGCTAGGGAATTTTCAGCTAGCTCAGTGTCTCTGCTGCAGAATTTGGGGTAAGAGGGCTGCTGGATAACTCCAGCAAGTGCAACTTGTTGCACTTCCATTTAGACTCTTGCATAAATATTGAGGGATGAACTAGTGATCTAGAGTCTTCCAGGACACACACACAAACCCATCAGTCATTTTGTCATTGATCCTGTCTATCCCTCAAATGCTTTCTAAAAAATTTGGAATTCACAGACAAAACCCAATTGCGATAGCTGGAAGAACTGTTCCAAGGCCACTGCTGTGATCAAACAATACACCACACCAGCCTTTTAGAAACACCTGCTCGTACAGTGCTTTCTGTCATCATTTTGCATCATCTTGCTAACAGTAAAGGCAGCTTCTCTCTGCAGTCAAACTGAAGCTTGTTCATGAAGGAGGTGAGTCCAGAACTGCAATTCCACAAATAAAACTTTTTTTTTTTCTTCTGTATGTGGCAACTGGTGCACTGCACTGTGCCAA